TTTTTGAGACAGAGTCTTGCTCTGTCGCCTCGCGCCAGGCTGGAGTGCAATGGCGCCATCTCGTCTCACTGCAACCTCTGCCTCCCGAATTCAAGCAATTCTCCTGCTGCAGCCTCCCGAGTGGCTGGGACTACAGGCGCGCACCACCACACCCAGCCAATTTTTGTATTTAGTAGAGACGAGGTTTCACTATATTGGCCAGGATGGTCTTGATCTCTTGGCCTCGTGATCTGCCCTCCTTGGCCTCCCAAAGTGGTGGGATTACAGGCATGAGCCATCGCACCCGGCCACTTGTGTTAATTTCTTAAACTCGCGTGATCATCTGGTTCACTTGTTGAAAAATACAGCTCCCTGGAGTGGCAGGATCAGAATCCTCAGAGATGGACCCTGGGAATTCGTCGTGGTTTTTTTTGTTTGTTTGTTTGTTTTTGAGACGGAGTCTCGCTCTGTTGCCGATGCTGGAATGTAGAGTCTCACTCTGTCTCCAGGCTGGAGTGCAGTGGCATGATCTCAGCTCACTGTACAACCTCCGCCTCCCAGGTTCAAGAATTCTTCTGCCTCCGCCTCCCGAGAAGCTGGGACTACAGATACCCGCCCCCACGCCCGGCTAATTTTTCTATTTTTAATAGAGACAGGGTTTCACCATATTGGCCCGGCTGGTCTCTAACTCCTGACCTTGTGATCGGGCCACCTTAGTCTCCCAAAGTGCTGGGACTACAGGTGTAAGCCACTGCACCCTCTGGAGTCTGTCATTTTTAAACAAGTGTACCAGGTGGTTCTTTTGCTGAGGCAAGTGTGGGAAACTTTGTGTGAGCCCACCCATGTTCATCCAGTCTTCCTTGTAACCGTCAGTCCACTGTGCACAATGCTGAAGCCATACAGAGGGGCAACTGGAAGTTAGAGCTAGCACCTTGATCTTGTTGGAATAAGCAGTTCTGAGTAGAGCCAGCCCTAGTCTTATGGTTGTTTAGCAGAATTTATTCTTCTTAGCAGAGAATATTATAATGTCATTTTCCAGAACTTTTAAAAAATATTTGTTTTAAAGCAGATGATGTGCTTTATTTCTGTCTTTGACATCTTCAGTTTCTTCTCTCCTATCTTTACCTCCTTTGCTGTCAAGCTTTGCTTTGGTTTTGCTGCCAGCCCTACTAGGCTTATGTTTGGCAACAAAGGCACTAGACCCTGGTGCCTTAATTTCCTTCGTTGTTTATCTTAAGCCCTACTTTTCCTCTGCCCTCATGCCGTCGTCACCACTTCACTCTTGTGAAGGTCATAATGAACACGATGTCAGAAATTCTTTTTTGGTGCCTAGCGTCCTGGGCTTTTTTTCTTTTCTTTTTTCTTTCTTTCTTTTTTTTGAGATAGAGTCTGGCTCTGTTGCCTAAGCTGGAATGCAATGGTGTGACTCAGCTCACTGCAACCTCCACCTCCTGGGTTAAAGCAATTCTCCTGTCTCAGCCTCATGAGTAGCTGGGACTACCGGCACAAGCCACCAAGCCTGGCTGACGTTTGTGTTTTTAGTAGAGACTGGGTTTCACCATATTGCCCAGGCCGGTCTCGAACTCCCGACCTCAGGTAATTCACCTGCCTTGGCCTTCCAAAGTGCTGGGATTACAGGCGTGAGCCATTGCACCTGGCCTGTTTGTTTGTTTGTTTGTTTGTTTTTGAGACGGAGTTTCACTCGTGTTACCCAGGCAGGAGTGCAATGGCGCGATCTTGGCTCACCGCAACCTCTGCCTCCTGGGTTCAGGCAATTCTCCTGCCTCAGCCTCCTGAGTAGCTGTTTGTTTTTTTTTTTTTTAAAGGCTGATTCTAACTCTTTTCACCCAAGCAGGAGTGCAGTAGCATAATCTCGGCTCACTGCAACCTCTGCCTCCCAGGCTCAAGTGATCCTCCTACCTCAGCCTCCTGAGTAGCTGAAACCACAGGTGCATGCCACCATACCCAGCTAAATCTTTGTATTTTTGGTAAAGATGGGGTTCATCATATGCCTCCAGGCTGGTCACAAACTTTTGAGCTCAGGCGATCCATCTGCCTCAGCCTCCCAAAGTGCTGGGATTATAGATGTGAGCCACCATGTACCCTGGGCTTTTTAAAAAAATGTTGATTTTTGTTTGTTGAGACAGGGTCTCACCCTGTCACCCAAGCTGAAGTGTGGTGGTGCAATCATGTCTCACTGCAGCCTCTGCTTTCTGGACTCAAGTTGCCTTCCTGCCTCAGCCTTCTGAGTAGCTGGAACTACAGGCACGTACCACCACACCCAGCTGATTTTATTTTTTTTAAATTTTTGTGCCTATAATCCTACAGAGAGGATATTGCCATGTTGCTGGCTACTGGGCTCAAGTGGTCCTCCCACCTTGGCTTCTAAAAGCACTAGGATCTAGGATTACAGGCATGAGGCACCAGCTGGCCCACCGTGGGATTTTAAAGTGTTTTTTTTTTTTTTTTTTAAAGACAGACTCTTGCTCTGTTGCCTAGGGCTGAGTGCACTGGCGTGATCTCTGCTCACTGCAACCTCTGCCTCCCAGGCTCCAGTGATTCTCCCATCTCAGCCTCCTGAGTAGCTGAGATTACAGGCACATGCCACCATGCCCAGCTAGTATTTGTGTTTTTAGTAGAGAAAGGATTTTGCCATGTTGGCCAGGCTGGTCTTGAACTCCTGACCTCAAGTGATCCACCCATCTCGGCCTCCCAAAATACTGGGATTACAGATATGAGCCACCGCACTTGACCTAAAGTTTTTTAAAATTCCGTCTTAAAACTCATCTGGCCGGGCGCGGTGGCTCAAGCCTGTAATCCCAGCACTTTGGGAGGCCGAGGCGGGTGGATCACAAGGTCAAGAGATCGAGACCATCCTGGTCAACATAGTGAAACCCCGTCTCTACTAAAACTACAAAAAAATTAGCTGCGCATGGTGGCGCGTGTCTGTAGTCCCAGCTACTCAGGAGGCTGAGGCAGGAGAATTGCCTGAACCCAGGAGGC